AATATTTGCACTACATTATAAATTGACAGAAAAAAATATTTTTATTCAAAAGTAATTCTACTAATGCAAATAAATATCAAATAATGAATTCAGAAATACATCTTACTTACTAGCCATTTCTGTACGAACATTTAACAATCTAACAGACCTAACTTTTGTTCTTTATCAATGATATGTCTAATCTTCAGTTGTCATTTCTGAGTTGTATTTTCTTTGTTTCTTGCTTTTTTGCTGGTTTGAATGGTTTCCTATATTTGATAGTTGAAATGTTGTCTAGTTTTTATAAGAGTTCCTGAGTTATGCATTTCTGAAGTTTATTTATTTGATATTTTTAAAAGCTTTGAAAATAAGGTGTCACTGTAAAAATTTTATTTTTTTAAAATTATTTAAAAATTATATAACCAGTGTAGTGCATATTATTCATTTACTAAAGTTGTCCAGATCCTTGTCCGTTTTTGTCTTATATCATTTATGTTGTTTAGAGAATTTGGTGTTAATAGCAGTTCTTTAATGTTTTCTGTTTTAAGTGTATTCACAAATTTTAAATATTAAATGCTTAAAAGCAGATTAAAAAAAATATTTAAGATATTTTTGTAAAATTCAAAAATGTTAATTTCAGTGAAATATTTCCTTCTTGTCATGATCATATATGAATTGCTTTAAGCATGTATTTTTACATGTTGTAGAAGACGCTCTTGATGTCTTTTTGTCGAGCCTTCGACTTTTGTCGAAAAAGCGAGACATAGCGATCCTACATTCCGTCGGCGTCGTTGGCGGCGTCCACAAATATTCACTCTGTGGTTAAAGTTTTTGAAATTTTAATAACTTTCTTAAACTATCCTGGATTTCTACCAAACTTGGAAAGAAGCTTCTTTATGATCATAAGATAGTATCCAGAAGTAAATTTTGTAAAAAAAAAAATCATTTTGTCAGTATTTTACTTATAAATGGACTTAGTTTTTCTGCCAGTTAACATTACATTCACTCTGTGGTTAAAGTTTTTAAAATTTTAACAACTTTCTTAAACTATCTTGGATTTGTACCAAACTTGGACAGAAGCTTGTTTATGATTAAAAGCTAGTATCTAGAAGGAAATTTTGTTAAAATTTTGTTCCATTTTTTCCGTATTTAACTTATAAATGGACTTAGTTTTTCTTCCAGTTAACATTACATACAGTCTGCAGTTTAAGTTTTTTAAACATTTATTAGATTCATAATCTATCCTGGATTTTTACCAAACTTGGACAGAAGCTACTTACAATCAAAAGATAGTATAGAGAGGAATATTTTTATTAATTTTTTTCCTCATTTTTGTTGAGCCTGCGATTAACAGCAAAAGTAGGCGAGACACTGGGTTCCGCGGAACCCTTACGATTTTTTTTCATTTAAAATACTTTAAAAATATAGAAAAACAAACTTTTCTAAGAAATTGAGCAGACAGTAAAATTAAATTTTGATTAGAAATACACCAATATGAACCCCTTTTTTGTTCATTCTTTTATGAGGTAAAATGCTTCTTTCTACATATTGATTTTGAACTATAAAATATAGTGTATTTCCATGACTATATATATATATTATAATTATAGTATAATTGGTTGAAAATTCCTAGGATCATTCACCTTGAAAACTCTATGTTACTGGCAAAAAATTCTTTATCACAAACGAATGGATCAAATGCACTCTGCTATTTAAAAGAAATTACTGTGTCATTTTAAAGTCCCTATGTAGTCTTTAGTTTTCTGAATGCATATGGTCATTATGAGGACACCAATTTTAATTAGGTCTATAACTCAAGAAAGGAAAAATGAAAACAACAAAAAGTTTGTTACAAAATTGACTAAGTCGGAAATTTCCAAATTAAATAGGATTACGGTAATAGGAAAGTATTATACTAAACAAAACCGACTTATAAAACATACATGTACTATATATTCTTAAAAATAAAAATAATGGAATTTATATGTCTGACTTGCCTTGCCCAGCAATTTTTGGTTTATTAACCCATTTTTAGACATTCCTGAATCTGAGCCTATTCAGTACACAAAAATAAGAACTATTAAAGTGTTTGGGAATTTTAAACATGATGTCCTTTTTTAATTTCTGCTTTTATTTTTGGGAGATACATAAAATGTAGATGATGAATACACCAGAAATCAAGTTCTTTTATCAGATTTTATTTTACTTGCTAATTTATCATTGTCAGATGATCAGGGTATTCTTGCTTCTGTCTTGAGGAGATGTGACCTTTCTAAAAACTGTTCTTATCAGACCATTGTCTTAACAAGATTTAGCTGTGTTTTATATGATTTTAAACTGTTTTTATATTGTTTTTAGAAGTTTTATATTGTTTTAACTGGTTTTTACATGCTTTTACCTGTGACAGATAAATCTTGTTATCACGTAGATTTTCAGTGTTAAATAGAATGTACTGTTACAATTAAAACTTATTAAGACTAATTAACAGAGAAAGAAATTTCCTTGAAATAATAAGATCTGACTTTTTTTATATCATTTACTGGAATAATTTTAATGAGATTATGGGAGGGTCCTAACAATTTTTTAATAAAGATTACAACTGCTGAAAAGTATTTTGTAAAAGGAACTGATCCAGGAATTTTTAGTTTTGGGGGTATGACATCAAAATCATTTGCCGAGCACAGTGGGTGGAAGACATTTTACAGACTTTTGGCACAAATATTGCATGTTTTTCATTTGTTTTGATTTGGTGAGGTACTTGCCTGTCATGACACTTTATAAAATGTAACCTAGTCCATATATTAATATTAAATGAACCTTTCTTCACACAAAAGATTTAAATAGTCATTTATGAAAAATGGCAAAGTGCTCTTGATCAATAGGTATATGGAAAGAATTTTTTTCAATTACTCACAGAAAATAATGTGATTTGCTCCCTTTTTATTTTCTCCGACTAAGAAACTTATAAAACTGTAAGAATGTGTAGAAAGGTGTTTTTGTAGAAGTTCAATAAAAGTGCTTTTTCTCATATGGGTGTAGCGATTTTGTGTCATGAATTGACACAACATATCAGGATCCTTTCTTTATAAACAAAATATTTTCAATCATTTATCAATTTTGAAATGAATAGTAAATTAATTTTTGTGTAAACACACCTTTTTGTATCAGTTTGATTTTCAACACTTTAAAATATCTGTATGCCTTAGATTTGTATAATTTCCTGACACACTTTTTAGTATTTTCATGATTTATAGATGAGAGGTTCATGGTACCTTTGAAAAAGCATAAGAGTTGAAATAAAAAAAATAACTAGTTTTTCATAAAAAAAAAAAACAATTTCATTTTTGTTAAACAAACATATAATCTTAGTACAATGTAATTCAAAAAAGTTTTTAATTTTTTTTGGTTAAAAGAACAGTGAAAATATGAAGTCCTATTTTATGATGCTACAGTTCTTGAACATTTTTATATCTTGTCCATTTTATGCTTTGCCATGATGAAAAATGCAATTATGGGCAAAATGTAGATTTTTTCTACAAAGATTTACAACAGAATATGAATAAGTAAATTACAAATAAAGTTGGAACGGGGAAAGGTGGTTTATATAGGCAATCTCAAACATTTTATCAATATAAAATTACCAGGTTTATCCAAATTGGGAAACACCAAGGGTTAATTGGGGTATAGAAGTATTGTCATCTGGACTTCTCCCATCCAGCAGAAAAAAACTTATTTGAAGTGGCCATCTAGCTGTTTTTGTTGTGAGGAATATATTAAATATACAACCATGTCCAGTCAGAATGTGGACTTTAAATCAGATGCCTTGTGTAGGGAGAGTGGTCTCTGCACGTTAAAGAACCCTTGCAACAACTCTCTGAGGGGTTAATAGGGTTGCCTGTTGCAAGGCAAAATTTCTGCCCCTTTTTTCTATGGTAGTTTAAATTTTATACCTTTCATCCTGGTTTACCAATTTTGCAAAACCTACCCACTGGAGTTATTGTCCTGAATATGCATGAAATAATTGCAACTGGACATCAACTGGCTGCAACGAGATGGAATATTGTGATAGATTATCCATGACCAGAGCAAAGGTCTGATGGAAGAAGATAAACTTTCCATTGATGATGACAGATTTAATTTCAACCAGAAAGATGGTCATTTCAGATGTATCAAGAAATCAAGGCTTTTCCATGTTTATTTTTAAGGTATGCCATGTTGTTTATATAATTTTGCTCGCATAAGTTGTAATATTGGAAAATGTAATTAAAACAGCAACCTAACAGAAGTTATAGTAAACTAGTGAACATTAAGAGGTAAAACTATATTTGATTATTCACAGTAATACATTGATAACTGATAAGTTAATAAGCAGAAAAAAACTAAGTATTATAAAGTACCAGTGGTGAAGTATATTTCAATGACAAGTTATTCCATCCTTTTTCAGATGCTAACTTAACACAAGTTTAATTCAATGTTGCTGCAGGACTTGGAAGTTTGGTGCTATTTTATCTCAGGTTTGTTAAAAAAAGATTAATAGTTAAGAAAGCAACAGTTTTGTTTTGTTGCTCTGTGAAATTGACATATTTATTAAAGGGGCAGTAATTATTTTCAGTCAATTTCTGTAACATAAAAAGAATGTTTTCAAAGGATGGTGATTATCTTTTAAACTAGCTAGATTACACATTCAAATTTAAATCTATAATAAGGAATAAGTTTAATTTGTAATTGGGAAATTAGGGTGGATTCATCATCTATTGCAGTAAAATGATTTTGATATTGATATGGATTTTAGATATAAACTGGAAATTCAGAAATTGGTTTTTTTTTATAATTGCAAATAATGTGACTGGGTGAGTATCACAATACAAAACTCTTTCTGAAATCCAATACATATGTATGTATGCAGATTTTTCTGAAATTGCAATAATAAGTCTCGCTTTTCCAGCCATTCTCTCTTAAAAAATCACAATGATAAATGCATGCAATAATTTCTGAATTTATAGCTAGTATTTATATCTTTTTCAGATGCCGACATCACATAAGAAGGTTAATTCAATGTTGCTGCAGGACTTGGAATTTATATCCTGTTTTATCTCAGGTTTGTTAAAAAATATTTAATGTAAAGAAAGCAATGATTTTGTTTTGTTGCTCTGTCAAGTTCTTATATCTTTAAGGGGTAAAATATATAGTGAACATAACATTTTGCAAAAAAATTTGTCAAAATTCTGTAACATAAATAGAATATTGCAATTAAGGATGTTGGTAATTCTTTTTCACGAATGTGACCTACCGAATGAGACTATTTACCGGATTTGTAATAACATAAGCAACATGACGGGTGCCACATGTGGAGCAGGTTCTGCTTACCCTTCCGGAGCAACTGAGATCACCCCCAGTTTTTGGTGGGGTTCGTGTTGCTTAGTCTTTAGTTTTCTATGGTGTGTCATCTGTACTATTATTTGTCTGTTTGTCTTTTTATTTTTGGCCATGGCGTTGTCAGTTTGTTTACGATGTATGAGTTTGACTGTCCCTCCGGTATCTTTCGTCCCTCATTTAAACTGGAACACACTCAAATTTAAATCTATATGAAAGAATTGAAATTATGTTCAATTTTAATTCACCATTCAGGATGAATTTATCTTCTTTTGCAGAAAAAATATTTTGATGTTGAAGATTATTTACATATTAATAATTAGTATTTTAAGATATGTATATATGAACTTACTTTTTATTTTCAGTGTAGAACAAAAATTGAGATAAATTGCTGTCAAAAATTTTGTAGACTTGAGAATGAAAAACAACATTTCATCAACAAAATAGTAAGTAGCATATTTTAAATTCCTTCAGGAAATAATTTTCCCCTTTAATGCGTCCATTCAATGTTTGTATTTAAGAAAAACGCAAAGAAAAGTCTGGTACCTATGATTATTATTAGAAGAAAGTGTGAATGAAATATTTCAAAGTTAAGTTATAGGAATTAAATTTTAAATATCATTAAAATCAGATCATATGCGTTTCCAATTATATCAATTATTTTAACTTTAAACATTTTTTCTTCTATTTTTCATAAAGAAAATTAAACTGGGACTTTTTTTTCAGGATGAAAATAGCAAACAGGAAGTTGTCAAGGGATTGTTACCTCAAGTCTGAAGTGGTTCAATGCAAATCATGAGGTAAGTTTTCTGAAGCTATTTTCAATATTTAGAACATTGATTTATAATAGTCCTGTATCAATAAGACCCAGTCTGCTATCTGGTTGTGACTTTAGAAATCTCTTATTTGTGACAATATGGGGGAAATACAAAAGAGAAAAATCCAATCAGAATGATGGATGTGATTTATTCTGGGAAAATTGTTCTTGTTTCAAAAATTATCTTAAATTGAGAGCAGCTGCTCAGATGGATTTACTTTCACAGAATATCTATTAAAGGGGCACTAGCTACGAGATATATAAAAAATCTAATGTATTATTTTTTTTTGCTCAATCATTAATGAAATGGAAATAGTGAAATAATAATTCGCTTTTAGCAGCCAGTATGGTTCAATTTTGTCAAAATAAGCTAAAAAACATTGATTATGAATTATTCACTTGCAAGTGAATAATTCGACCTCATTGCATCCGTATTCATGTGAACTTCAATTTAACCCCTTAGCTTGAGATGGATAACACGTGAATTGTATGTGTAAAGTTTTTTAAAGGAAAAGAATGTCAACATTGAAAGTGAAACAAAGGTAAATCATTGATTGACTGATTCGATCCACAAAAAATCATTCTTATACAGGTAAAAACGATGATAAACATTTATTTTTCATCTATAAAATGAAATTAAATAGACCTAGAAAAATCCAATTAACAGGGCACGGGCATGAAAATACTTAGCTTCGTTTCGTGTGTATTTTAGTCTAGACGCCATCTAATTAACTATCGAGTTGACCTCTCAAGTCATCCGATGACCATATAAGCGATGTAAACATAAATATAGATATAAATAGATTAAGCAAACTCGTGCTGTTGTTTATTTTAGACTTTTGATACTTTGGATAATTGTTTTACATTGTTATCAATCAAATATGAGAATTTGATTAAAATCGGTGAACATGAATTTGACAGCTAATGCCCCTTTAAAAAAAGATGCAAAATCCAGAATAGAAAGGAGTAATATTTTATATTGCTTTCAAATTGTTTCATACAGAAAATAAGTATCTCATGACAGTAAAACAAGATGATAAATTTATTTTTCAGCTTCATTCATGCATTGCTGGTATTCACAAAATGCCATGATTTAAGATGAAGACTTTATAGGAAGATATTATCTGATGTTTAGGTAAGTCAGCATTACTATTTTAACACTACACAAATGCATTGATAAGAGATTGGTTGTATCCTTGTACAAAATTTGTTAAAGAATTCAGTTGACAGTTATTTCCCTTTTTTTAACAGTAGATATTACTATGTATATATTATATCCTCAAAACTAGTTGACACACAACAGTATTGAATTATTTTGTATAATCTGCTATATTTTCAAAACTATAAAGTTATTTTTAACCAAAAAAAACCACCAGGATTTTTCTTCTTAATTTATTATCATTCCAAGAAGGGGGACAACTATTGCAAATGGAACATATGGGTGACAAAAGATCATCAGCACACTTAAATACGACTCATTGCTTAGAGAATGGTTTTTCTTTCATTAATATCAATTTAAAAACATACTAATTATATAAAAATGTGTGCATATCACAATCATACTGAGGAAAGGGGAAAATGCATTGCTGAAAATTATCATTTCAAGGGAGACAATTTTAGTGATTTTTTTTCTTGATGAATAATTTATAAATACAATTTTATACCATCATCAAAACAGATTTGCAAATAGGACTGAAATGACAACTGATCTTACTGTATGGTTCAGTTTTTTATCCAAGACACTCAGAATGGTAAAGTTTTACTATTTGAATAATTTTTATATTCTTAAAACCAAATATTCACCGCCTGGCTTGCATTGTAAATGGAAATTCAATGTTGGACACCAAATGGTTTAAAAATCAAGAAACTTTCTGCACTTAGCAGCAAAACTTAATCTAAACTGTCAATGATAAACACAATTATGAAGAGCAAATATTGTGATACAGAAAAAGATAAACTATTTCTCCTTTTTATATTTAAGAATCTTGTGATAAAATTTCCATTCCATTTGTAGGTAATGTTTGATGCTTCCAATTCTGGATATTTTGAAAAAAAGGTGAAAATGAAGGAAGGATGTCAATACGCAGAAAATAATTTTAAAAAGAGAGCGGTACTCAGTTACAAAATATAACTCTGGAATTAATTTGCTGTGAAAGAAGGACTAAAACACTAATGGACTCCGGAAAACAAGTTGAGCAAGGGGAAGAGACTTAAACAAAACAACAGACTCAGGAATATGTTGTGCAAAACAAGAGACTTAAAAAAAAACAAAAAATAGACCCAGGAATATGATTTGCACGACAAGAAACTTTTATTAAACAAAACTATAGAATATAATCAGTGATGAAATAAAAACTTTGTTTAGCATGAATTTTTTATTTATTAGTTATAAATTTGAGGAGAGAAAGTGGAATATGATTTTCATTGAAGATTATTTTTTTTTCTTTTTAAAGATTACTGCTTATCTACAATGTTTGATTAAAAATGTGTTTTTTTTTTTCTTCAAAATTTAGATTTTGAAAGTCATGTTAAAATTTGAGAGAGTTAGAATATTCATTTGTAAAGATTTATCCTGTTTCAACCATAAAGCTCATAATATTATTACCATTTTTAACGAGTGGTTTGACAATAGACTGTCACTGCTAGTTTTTTTTTTTTTTTTTTTTTTGCATTTATGGTTTAAACAGGATTAATCTAAGAGAAAGAAAAATGCAGTGTATGAAAGAGAGAAAGAGGGACTATGTAAAGGTCTATTCTCTTTCAGCAAAACAGCAGGTTCTTTTTTTACGATTTCTTGTATTGAAATCAAGCACCTGCCAATTTGTTTAAATTGGATGAATCTTGGATGAGTATGACATTGTGTATTGAAAACTGTATTTTTAAAAATGCATTTTCGACACACTTAAAATATTACATATTAAAAAATTTAGATAATTAATTTTTATTTTATATCTAAATTATCACAATCATGCTATATATTTTAAGTGTATCATTTTTTATATATATTTTTTTAAGTTTTCAACACAGGAAGTGTAATCTAAGTATGATGAATGGGGAGCTAATAGGTTTTATTTACAGCAAGGGGAGGGAATACACCTATTTACCTCCTAATACTGGTTGCTTCCTTTGATGAAAGTTAATTTATTATACTTTGATAATTATGTGAAGTTGCTTTAAGGGTTCATCAGATGATATCAAAATTTGCCATTTTGTAGAGCTTAGTAAAGTCAAAATGTAAAAAAAGAGAAAAGAAACAAAAACTATTAAAAAAAATAGAAGAAGAAAAAACTGTAAACTAAGTTCCAGGAAATGGCAGTATGGGTTGTTCTAAAATTTATAAGTTGTATTGGATCCAAAAATATTCTTACAACTTAAATACATCTGATGTGTGTGTGTGTGTGAGGGAGAGAAAGATAATATTTTGTGAAGGTTTATTCTCTTTCAGCTAAACAGCAGGTGCTTCTTACAACTTTTAGTAGACTGGTCTCAAACAAGTTGCCAAAACCTGCCAGTTGGTTTAGATATGATAAATCTAGAAGTGTAAGATAGTATTTTGAGATGCTACTTTTTCTCTGATTTTTTTTTTGTGGCTTGAATCTATCTATGAACAAAGAATATACACTTGAATATGACACGGATCAAAATTTAATAAATAAGCTCTCATTTTTTTAAACATCACAGCCATGTTCTATTCTATGTGTATTATGTCATTTTGTTAAACCTTTCAACACAGAAAGTAAAATCCAGGTGTGATGAATGAGGAGCTAATAGGGTGAAGTGTATGGCAAGGGGACGGAATACACCTATTTACCTCCTTATTCTGGTAGCTTCCTTTGGTGGAAGTTAATTAATTAGACATTAATAGGAGCACCTCAGATGATATCAAAATTTAACATTTTGTAGAGCTTAGTAAAAAAAAATGTATAAAAAAAATGTAAAAAAAAAAATGAAATGAAAGAAAAGAAGAAAAAACTGTAAACTAAGTTCTAGAAAATAGCAGTATGGGTTGGTTTGAAATTTAATGATTTCTTTTGGATATGAAATTCTTCTTTTTGCATTTTAAATTCATCTGATTTGCATATGTGATAGAGAGAGAGAACAAGACTTTGTTAAGGTTTATTCTGTTTTCATCTAACAGCAGGTGCTTCTTTCATCTTACTGTAGTCATTTCTTATAAAATTACTAAAACCTGTCAGTAGATTAGAATTGAATAAATCTAGAAAGAGGGTAAAGTATTTTCATTATTTGGATTAGATTTTTTTTTTTGTTATAGACATTTTTCATAATTAGTTGTTAGATGAAGGTGGAGAACATATTTTATTAAAACATTTAAGTGGTTTTATTTAATTAAAACTTATTTGCTAATAGTTTTAAAAGAAGCTATTACAATTTTGACAAATATTTACAATGGAAAGAAAAACAGCTATTATCTCCCTTTATCAAGACCTACTTTTTACAATAAAAGAAACAAATGTATAAGAAAACAAAAATGTTTAATAATTTCTGAATTTGCAGTAATTGTACTCTTCACAGCATTTCTTACTCATAAATTTTTTTTAACACTTTAACTCATGTTCTTTGCTTAATTATTTTTTTTTACACATGAAAAATGTACTGCTTTGTTTTTTTTCTGTCTTTGTATGCCAAGATGTGTGTTTTTTGTATTACAAAGTTGCAATCAGACTTCACCCTGATTACCAGCTAGAGACCATTTGTTATATATATATTGCCAGTAATAAAATTTACTTAAGAGAAATGCAGTATAGCTGTTATGTTGATATGGAATAAATGAAGGCTTTTCATGTATGATTTATATTGACATAATAATATTCATTAATAAAAAATTATATAGAAAATAGCAATGGTGGCTTGTTGTCCTATCATATCCCTACTCTAAGAGTTGGGGCTATATTGCATTCACCTTGTCTGTCCCTCTGTATGCCAGTTTGTCCAACAAATATTTCTGTCACGTTTTTCTCAGGTACTGCTGAACAGAATGGCTATCATTTTGGTCAACAGCTCGACATTGATGAGTGGTAACATGTGAGGACTTTTCAGATGTCAGACACCTACTTTCTGTTTGCTGATACTTTTGAGTTTAAAAAACGTGATAATATTTTAACAGGACGTGGTCAATGATGTTTGGTACACGTTTACATCATAATACCAGTTATAATTTTATTGAAAATTATTTGGTGTTCAACCACTCGTCCTGTTTTCTTTATTCATGGTCCATTGAAACGCGTTTTTTTCCCTAGTTTACATGTTTCTTGATGGGTAAAATTATCAGGACCAACTCCAACTGAAGATGAGTAACAGTAATATGCTTTAGCATCTACACATGATTTTTATCAGAAGATTAAGCCTGGACTTCAGTCATGGTCAATGGACACCCAAATGTAAAGGTTTTGATCATGTCAATGTAGAAGGATCAGAATTATCATATCGTTCAGTTATTTAACGGTCAGTTCTGTGAGTCATATTCAACTGCTGAGCTGCTTGCATTTTATACATTTTGCTTTGTTCATATAAAAGCTATTGATTGTTTTGTTCTATCCCAATTTTACATCTGATGGTACTATCATACTATCCCACTTTTCGCCCCTCCTATAACAGTTACAACACAAGGACAGGAAAGCATAAGTTTCCTTTCTTTCGTAGTCGGGGCATAAAAATAATTAAATTATGAAATATATATGTGAAATTCAGACAAATGAAGGAGCTACAAGATATTTTTGTTTATTTCCAATAGAGGACCCATTATTGGCAAAGTCAGTACATTGATTAGTATATTCCACATTTACCATAGAGATAATACAAACAAAAAAAACCAGCTCAAACATTGAATAAAAGATGTGTTAATAATTTAACAATATGAACAACCCCCATAATGATCGGTGTTCGTTGACCATGTACTGGAAGCAGCATTATATCCATTATGAAATGAGCTCATGAGTTGAGTCCTCATCGTGGCTGATGCATATGAACACAAATTATATTTATCCAAATACAGGCGTCACCAAGGGCATGTGCTTAAATGACACTCAAACAAATACACATAGATATGAATATTTAAGCACATTACAATACATTTATAAACAAATATTCAAAAATGTATTATCTAGTCTTCCTCGTGGCATGAAAACAAGAATACTTATATTCTAATTCGTAAACTCGAATATAAAATATTTGTCAAATAACCACAAACTCTCACATGGGAGACGCCACTTGCAGAGACAAGTGCACTCGAAACACAAAGAACGGGAAAATAGCATTGAATATTTATTGAATTCGTAAATTTTGAGAAACAGATAACTGTGCTTAAATGTCTTCTCTACCGTAACAACCATTTGCTCTGTCTGATTTACACTTGTCATGCTTCATAAAAATTCCTATCAGAAATACCGCGTTAGCCCTGGCTCTTGTATATAAGATACGTCTGGAATCATTTCGAATCTTAAGAACATTGGACTTCTTATTGAATGTTATTTTAACGAAAAATAAATTTACCATCTTCAAAATGTTTGTCAGCATCTTTAATAGAACTATTTAGACAAGTATATGGACATGTTATTTTTTAATCTGAAACATGTATAAACAAATAGAAAATATTTTACCAGTTGAAAAACAGTTTTTGCAGAAAATAGCTGGAAATATTCTAATACACAACGTGTATTTTATGTATCAGGGTAGTTCTGTCCAATGACACTAATAAAAATGTTATCTTGTTCATACCAAATAATATACTAATATGTTTTTCGGATGTTCAGCCCAGTGGCTTCAATAACAATCAGCACAACGTCTAAAAACAATCGCCCAGTGGTTTTAATTAACATTCTCTAATTTTTATGAAATGAGACCAGTATCGTTTGTATGATCAGTGAAAAACATACAAGAAAAATGTTTGATTATCCCCCTTTTACCACAAATGATGACTGTAAAAAAATGCTTGATATTTACCTCTACCATTGCAAAATATAACGCATAAGCTCATTTTAGGGGACAACCATTTGATATTCTCGCGGGGGGGGGGGGGGGGGGGGGGGGGTATACATTTTCATCCTGTCTCATGCAAGGTTATTTATTTTCAGCTCTTTCCAGGCAAGGATAGTATCAAAAATCCTCCAGCCTACAAAAATCAAATGGTCGTCCCCTTATCTGAAGGGCCAACTTAATCCACTGCCCGGCCTCATTTAGCTTCTGTTTTTATTTGGGATTTAAACATGACCATTGGTTCCTATTTTTTTTTAGTAAAAACACAGTGTACCGTTTTGGCATTCTTAAGATTCCTGCTTGGCCTGAGCGATGTGGAAATGATCGTTTGGTTGATCCTGTTGAATGACCTTTCGCTGACCATCCGATATGTCCGCACTTACTGTATAAATGAAAACATTGGTCAAAATAACAAACAATTTGATTACTTTATAACAATTTAGCATGAGTAGTTTGAAACGAAACCGGCGTAAACCCCCTTTTTAATATTCCTCACGGTACAGGAAACACTCAGTTGAGTAAAAGCATTTAATAAAATTGAGAATGGAAATGGGGAATGTGTCAAAGAGACAACAACCCGACCAAAGAGCAGAAAACAGCCGCAGGCCACCAATGGGTCTTCAACACAGCGAGAATATCCCGCACCCGGAGGCGGGCTTCAGCTGGCCATTAAACAAAAATGTGTACTAGTTCCATGAAAATGGACGTCACACTAAACTCCAAAACATATAAATGAACTAAAATTAGAATTTAACTATATAATATCGGTACAGTGACTGTAGTCGACATAATCACACGCAAAATGATACTAAATTACAGGGTGAAAGAATGCTCGCAGTTACTTAAAGCAAATTGAAAGAAATAGAGGTCTCTTACATCCTTATCGGCTTCTGGACTTCCAGCAAGATTTCATACAGCCTCGTCAGAAAACGTGCAAGAAAACAAGATAGTGTGCAGTGCCTAAAGTAAAAATTTGTGTATAGAATCTCAATACAATAAAGACAAAGCCAATGAATTCATTTCTTTATAAATTTTCAAGGAGAAATGAGTTTTCTTACATAAATAAAAGGAGAAATGGGATTTCCGTGAGACAAAAACACACGATACAAACAATCAACTTCATTACACCAGTTTAATACTTAAGAATTGAATGCTTCTTTTTATAATTTTATTGGGGTGTAAAAGCGCATTATTATTTTTGTATGCAGCGCAAATGTGCGCACAATCAATGCTTTTATAACCTTACAAAATTATAAAACAAAGCATTCAGTTCTTATAATGACATTTTTATGCTACAACCATGAAATTAAGAGTTATATATCAAGCTTTTCGTTTGTTTTTCAATGCATTATTATTCTAACATTGTCATGAATAGCACGTGCAGTCATAGCTCTTGTATTTTATACGGAAATAAAATTTGATATTATAGTGCCTCAGTCACGATTCTTGTCAGCCAATCCAAGTTACGGATTGAAATGAAACATACATGTAATTATTATTCTTTAAAAGGCTAACTAATTCAAATTCTTTTTCTGCTATAAAGGACATAGAGGTGTTAGATGTGAAATAATACCCATAGCAGACGTATAGTTGGTTTGTTTCAATAACTGTTGTTAAATGTCTCAATTGAAAAAAGACAATGAACAAAACTGTTACAACTATGATCTACTGAACATTACTTGATCAAATATTGTCTCCTCAAAGAGTAAACTATAGTAATATTAACATATGGCTATCACAATATATGATACAAAAAATTTCTGATTTTGTTTGCATTTCATGACTGGTACCCGCCTACCTACTCAGGCAACCAGCTGCAGCAACAATTGAGTTTTATTATCTAGCTCTGTTTTTTTTACCCTTTTATATAAATTTCACGATGATATGAACAAAAACGGGAAATAAATAGTCTTATTTATTTGTTTCTAATGAACTCGTAGATACAAAAGACTGTTCATTTTACAAACCATTTTGGCGACAACTAAGTTCGATTTTGATGTAGGGGAAAACATTTCTAATTGATGTAATTCATTTGAAGAAAATTGATGCATGAGTATTCGACAGCTGGGAATATAATAAAAGTTGATAAACAGTTTGAATCGTTTAACTTTTTCATATACAGAATAATTGAGAAACTATCACCATCGATCCAAGTAACAGGTTTTCTTGTTTGGGCTTTCTTTAATTCAGCAGTTTGCAAATTGTTCATTGTAATTTTATGTTAACTTTTATAGACTGTTACTGGAAATATAAACAGAGGCCCATACGGAGGACGAAGACTGGGGAATACTTACAGAGGCCCATACGGAGGACGAAGACTGGGGAATACTTACAGAGGCCCATACGGAGGACGGATACTAGGGAATATTTACAGAGGCTCATACGGAGGACGGATACTGGGGAATATTTACAGAGGCTCATACGGAGGACGGATACTGGGGAATATTTACAGAAGCTCATACGGAGGACGGATACTGGGAAATATTTACAGAGGCTCATACGGAGGACGGATACTGGGGAATATTTACAGAGGCTCATACGGAGGACGGATACTGGGGAATATTTACAGAGGCTCATACGGAGGACGGATACTGGGAAATATTTACAGAGGCTCATACGGAGGACGGATACTGGGGAATATTTACAGAGGCCCATACGGAGGACGGATACTGGGGAATATTTACAGAGGCCCATACGGAGGACGGATACTGGGGTCAATTTACAGAAGCCCATAAGAGGACGGATACTGGGGCTATTTACAGAAGCCCATACGGCGGACAGATACTGGGGACTA